GCCTTCAACTAGCAGGTGTAGGACAGGTTTGAGGGGGGGGTCGTTTATGTGATAGCTAGGTGTGATACTGTCACTGATCCTCGCAATCTCTCCATGGACCAGCACCAATGATATTCCTTTGCTGTGGATCTGCCAATCACTATCAAACTAATACTGAATCGCATCATAGGAAAAACAACAGACTGTTCAGAAGCACCTGCATACCAATAACTGAATTACTTTACATAGTCTATTTGCTAAATATATTTATTAATCTAGATTCCCATAATGTTAACACGCAGCAAATTTATAAGCATCGCAAAAGCAGAAATTTCACACACCTAGAATCGCAGGAGCAATGCGGTGATTATGTGCATATTTTACATGCACTTTAGGGAGGCTTCTGTCAAAATGTAATTAATGAAATCATAAAATGAATACTGGTCATGTTGTTTATGGCTGTACGCTCCTGTCAGCTAGGCTCACCCATGCAAAATTCTAAAAAGACAGAAACAGATGCAACAGGGAATTATTACTGAAGTATTTCCTTAAATATTAAAAGACAATGAATGAGGACTAAATTCTCCAAACTATTGAGGAAAGGCTATAAATTCCTGTATACTTACAGCAAGGAGAAATGATGCATTACATAGGGTACTCAACAAGGTAATGAACCTTAAGAGATATATTTATTTATAAGGATACTTACATTCAGGAAAGCACATTTTAGTGAGTCATCAACGCAGACCAATCCAATTATTTTCCACAACAAAAACATCACAAATACGTATTATAAACTCTTCACATATATCAAACGGGGCCCAAAAAGGCTCCCTTTCCGAAGCGCTCTGCCGTCCGCTGCCTCTCAGATGGGGCCACTTCCTGTCAGACAGACACGAAGCTACAGAGCGGGGGCCCTGCATTTCACAGCTCGCGGCAGTGTCAGAGCCCCCCCGCCCCGCTACAGCCTTGTCACGCGCGAATCCCCCCCGGCAACTACGCCTCACCCGGAACAACGTCACCGCTCGGCCTAGCCGCCTCGCCCCGGAGGTTCGGGCTTTGCTGCGGCCGTGTTAGATGAGGCACAGCCATGGGGACGCCGTCGACTGGGACCCAGCCCACATTGTACGAAAGGGGGCAGCGGCCACACGGCGGAAAAGCAGTCCGCCGACTGCTTTAAACCCAAACACGTATCCCCATGCTAATTTAACATTTAATCAATTATTCATTCCCAGGGCCTAATGTATTGTAAACAAAGCATTTTCATTTCTTTTTTATGTGCTTCGTGTTATTCCTTTTAATAGTTTCTGAGCTACAGCAAACTACATCCCTCTCAGGATAGAAAAGGGCATGCATGCTATGTTTTACATACACGTTACCAAACATTCATGTAACCTACATTATTATTATAGTGGCCAAAATTGTGGAAACACCTAGCATTTTTGGTATTACGCTTTAAAAAAAAAAAACAATGCACGAATATTGGCGGTAATATTTATAAACAAATAATGTTACAAATATAATACATTGGACGATTAAATAAGTAATCGGAGCAACAGTTGAATAAAGTTCTGCAATCCCTAAAAATTGTTTTTCCTCAATGTTGGCCACTACTGTACTCATTTATTGAAGGCAGATTTGTTTTTATAGGCAGGTGAAGAAGTTTAACATAAAAAAAATCGGCCGTGCAATGTAGCTTGATATATTCCTTTGGCACCAAGGTCTTCACACATTAAGTTCCAGATGGTTTCACTCACTGAAAATATGTTTAAGGCTGAAGATGCAATCAGGCATTACCGAAAGCGGATTCGGGAAAGATTTAGGGAAGTTCGCTGGGGAATGAAACGGCGGCCCTCAGATCACAGGGTTGCCGCTCGCACCGCGGCTCCGGTGCTGGAGGCTGCGCGCATGCGCCAGGGAGCCGCCTAGAGGGCAGGGGGCATTGAGCGGCGCGGGCCGCTGGCGCGCGCGAGGGAAGCAGAAGCGCACACCGGCGTCAACGGAAAGCTTCTCTGTCTGCAAACAGCCCCTCCATGGCGGGGACATTGTTCTGCAGGGGTGATGCAGTCCAGAGGACCTTTAATCCCCCCACATGTTAATGGATTAATACACAGCGAAACATCTTGACGAGCGATCCCAGGCGAGGTATCTCACTACAGGTCGCGCTGGAGGTCAAACGTTGCCTGATTAAGATGAGTCGAGCTAATCAGACCTCTGCTCGCAGCAGTACAATCAATGACAATTACTTTAAACCTGGAGCGTAACCCGCCTCGCAGGATATTCCTAATTGTTGAGTCGCCAACCGGTTCAACTTCACCACGACACATTAACAGATACGGCGTTTTAAGGGACGTCTTGCGCGTGCACATGCTATTTATTATCTGAATTGAGTTTCCGAAATGCGGGATTTATGTAGGAGAAGCTTGAAAGAAATTCATATAATTAATGTTAAATATTAAATTACAAAGTATAAAATTATGAATCAAGTTTGGTAATCAACATTTTAATACATTTGAATTCCAATTCGGCTGCTTTACCCTAGACATGGAATGCCAGCAGCTGCATTTTGGCTGCATTTTTCAAAGTATAAGGGAAAAAATAAAGTAAAATAAATAAATGAGCTTTGAGCTGGGATTTTTTATTACAGTGCTTCTTATATATAAACTCATTCCCACTACATCTTTGTTTATCAGCTTTAGTGTTTACAATACCAGCAGAACAATCTTCTCAAGCCTACCCAAACGAATTTCTAAATTTGACAGATTTCAGCAATAGAGTTGCACGGGTAGCCTATTTCAAAGAAAAGTTGTGGGTAAACATGTTAGTCTCGCAATGTAACAGTGCAAAAATCTATTTGTCGAGTACAGCCAAAAGATATTGGAAAACGGATGAGAGTATAGCTACTCTATATAGCGTATTTGTATATCTGTATTTTTTCTCTATTTATCATTTATGCATATAAAACAGTCTATGTTCTTGGCCTGTTGCAAACTGGAGTACTGCTGAACGACATTTCGCTGCTCCGTGTTTAGTGATAATAAATATCTATTTTATGAACGTTACCCTAAAAGTGGAACAGGGTGTGTTTAAAATGCATGATGTGCATAATATGTGAATTGCACTCAAATTATAATAAAAATTGTCAGTATATATTGACTGCTTCTAATAAACGCTAAAACATTGCGATTGACTAGCATATTAAACACTGCTAGTTATAGCACGGATCAGTTGATACAGTTATAAGAATCAGCCTGACGCTATCCTTTTATTTTACCGACACGGTTCAGTGCCACCTTGCATGCTTTGTATTCAAGACGCAGACTCACTCTAGGTAATTTTAAATAGGGTTGTAAAAGCAAGAGAGAGAAAATAATGCCCCACTCTGAGCAGCAAACGACACGTTGCGGGGTGAGGGTGCCCTCGGAGCGGCGGTGCAATCAGCAGCGGCCTGGAAGTGAAGTCTAAGTGTACTTTGAGGTGAAGCCTCGCTAAGAATAGCGGATGAGTTATTGGCAGCCGAGAAGTGCCCGCATATCACCTTTAAGGGCAAAATGCGCGTTACTACTGCAGGTGCAATAACTGATAAAAGGGGACAATTGTTCGGAGCATCGCGGTCATCTGTGGTCAGTTGCTAAGCAAAGTTAAAGCATTATTATTACAATTGTAATCAATTTTTTTTTTTTTTTTTTTTTTACAAAATAACGATGTCAAAGCTATTTTTACAAAACTTAAATGTAAATGGGTAAATGAAATTGTATTCTTGTGTGAAAGTTAAATGGGGAAAAAAAACGCCATAACATTCAAAACCAAAAGGAATGAGATGCTAAGAAATGATCGCATGCATCGCATGGAGATGTCTGAACCGAGAAGGCGATTTATGCCGGGAGTCTTTCGGCGACTGCGTCAGTCGGCGTATGGGAAGGTACCTGGAGGCTGCAAAACCGGGTGTATCACCGCAAGTTCATTCATCTCCATCATGAACTTCCACATCCATGGCGCAGCAGTCGCCAGAATCTTACCGAAATTACAAAGGCATATAAATACACATTCATAAATGTGTACGGTTGTCTGCAAATGCATGGAAACCGTACCTCACGCTGAATATATTTAGCGCACAGTAATTGTGTCACACGTAATTCTGCTCTATAATTAGACGTAATTCGCAATACAAGTTCACCACAGCACTTTTAATGAATGATGGTATAAGAGGACAGGCGAAATGACCGGAATGCTGTGGTTCATATTTTCGTACTAGCTAAAGAATATCCCCAAAAAAACATATAACTACGGTCAACCTACTACGAACGGTGCGTTAGACTAATAATAATACTAATTATAATGATGATTCTGTTATTGTTATTTATTGTTGTAGTCATTTTCCTCATTATAAGAATGAAACAGATATAAAGATAGACAGAGATACGATTCAAGGTCATTTTGACAATTCTTTTAAGTGTGTACCGATACTATCTCAAGCGCTATTTTATTCCACCAATTGGCCGTACATTTAGCTGTCATTAGGCTACAGTGAGTCTCGCCGCAATTAGACTTAAATGGGTTGAGCGTTAACATTCGGGCATCCGCTATTTTTAAAAGCCAGTACAGTATGAAATAAAAACTGCAGCTCAAGTATCTCGAAATCAACGAGCCTGTACAAAGGCGCGTCTGGGCGTCTTTTAAACCGGCGACAATGCGAATGTCACCGTTTAGTCAAGTGTTTCTCGCGTAAATCGTCATTCCGACAGAAAAAAAGCCCAACATTGTAATCCTTATATCTTTCTAAACGACGCACATCGATCGCAGGTACCTACAACAGACAGCATCGGTAAATCCGAATCATTACACGAACATTGCACGACTTAACCTGCTGTGCAGTTTGATTTCTTGAACACAATAACACGGCTGGCACACAGCGACCGGCTTGAATTTAAGATCCTCGTTTTCTCATGGTATGCAGGTACAGGGCTGGGAAATACGCATAAACGGACCCCTGATGCAACAAATTTAGAAAGCATCCTTACCACATGTCCAGCTTTTGACGAGTTTGCGGCAGCGATCCGCTTCAGATCTTTCCATTGAAAACATAAAATATGCTATTGGTCACAGAACTGTCTTTTCCTAACAAGAAAAAATATATATTGTGTCCTTGGGTTACTAAACACTCTACATGCAGATACTCTTGCAAGGAAATATTGACTTTGATTCCATGTAATTGCTGGGATCACAGCTACTTGTATTCTCCATAAAGATGCTCAGATAAAGAGAGTCTAATATCCGCTCATTTGAGAGAAAATATCGGGGAAAAGAAGCTCCTTATTTTGTATCCAGATCACTCTCCACCCTTAAAAGCAATCGCGTCTTCTCTCCACTATATTGCCCGTGTTTGAGGAGAGGAATGGAAACAAACGATGCACCCAGATAAATATCCAGACCCCTTCTCCTCGTTGAAAAGTCCCGCAGTAAAGGACTCCAGATACGGCTTGCTTACTGAACAGAGCCCTGAAGGAAAATGACAAACTAATTTCGAGATGCAGACTGGAGATGGGAACGGCAGAGAATGGCGAGAGGAAAATTTCCGAGCAGGATCCCATGTCACCAGACGGACTCGGGCTCCATCTAGCCGCAATCGGAGGATAAATTGACTCGCGCCGCACAATAAATACTTTTTCCTCTACATTATATTAACTAAATACTTTTTATATGTGGCTTGTTGCCAAAAAAGCAATTCAGCCATCAAGCAAACGAAATGTCGGCCAAATTATAGTGTATACATAATTAAACTATTACATACCATTAACATAACACACGAAATGCTAGAATCAGTTTGGGGAAAATGGTTTCATCTGCAGCCCAGCCACGTTAATAAATGCTAAGGACATCTACAAGTGGCAGAATTTTATCTCAAATTTAATATAAGCAACGTATCCTATAAGTTTACATATATAATACCGCATAATTCACACATTAATATAGTACAGGCCTATATTTTTCTCTCCTATACGACACAGACTTCAAAAAGCTTACAACAAATTTCATGTTTAATTACATATTTCGGACGCGAAATTTCGGATTTTAAATTCAATTAATCGCAAAAACGATAGCGATTTAAATAAGACCTGAAAGTTTTATAGGGGAAAGGGAAACACATTAGCAAGGAGGAAAAACCATATATACAGCTCAAAGAGCATAAAGAGCCAAACTTGAATATTTAGTTGAGTGACTGTCTTTAAATGCACATAAGTCTCACTCTCTTGGTTTCAGGGGGGAAATAAATAGATACATTCTGTCCCAGGCTTTTGCTGAAATCCATTGACTAGACGCGAATATTATTGTTTACTGTCACCAAGTCTGTGAGGGCCACAAAACAAAAAAGGAGCCCATTATCATGAATAAATAAAAGCTGAGCTGCGGACCTATATTTGGCAGCCTGCGATCTGCCCGAGTCTTCACATAGGATTTCTGAGTTCATGTCCGTTTTGATGCGATTCGAAGACCGGGATTTAAACCTATAAGCTTCACTGACACAATTCACAAATCAACTTTTTTTTACAGACAAACGCTCAAAATCATTTGCCACGCGTCACGAATTACACGTCGCTAATGAAGGCGGCGGATCATCACGAGGTGCCCTACTTTTCCGAAATGATTGTAAATTGTAATGATCCCTGTCATCGCTGAGTTTGGCAGCGCTCCTTTAACTTGGATCTCACACCAAGACTACTAACAATACATTTCCAAATATTTAGATTCCCTTTGGTGTCATCAAGAAGGCTGCAGCAACATATTTATTTCAGCCCCTGGCACTTGTGCAACTGAAAACAACTGTTAAAACAGACGGTAAGTCTGCAGCCACTGTCCACCCTAAATGGGCTCCCCGTCCCCTTGGCTACGCGGTAATGCACTCAGTTGCATTGGGAGCGATCGGCTGTCAGGCATTGCGATGTTTTTAAAGCGATGCATCGCTTTTTAAGTGATATCCAGAGTCTCACAGGCTTTCAGGCCTGTAAAATTCATAAATTCCTAAGCCTCGGAAATGTGTCGGAATCATTTTGCCAGGTATAACTACATCCCCTCTCGTTCAGCCTTATTCTGAACACATTACCGTGCTGTTGTCGCATCAACACCCATTGTGACGGATTCTCTTTGTAGGTGACTGGGGCTCAAAGTTACATGTCCTTAGTTGTTGAAAGGTTGATTAAATTAGAGCTACAATTTGCAATAAAGTTGTACAATAAAAAAATTACAAGAATGCGATGAAATATGTCGGCAATTGCCTCTATTTAAAGTCAAACAAAGATAATTGATAACATCTTTTAAGGTAAAAACTGACCGTTTGTTGCCTTATGTAGTTTCTACAGTTTTGTGTCATACACCTGCTTATACTGACAGAATTTTTGTGCGAGTTTTTACAATATTGTCTTCCCTGCTTATTTTCTCCCATCCTCTTAGGAGCAGTCGGAGCCCCGTGAGAAGACATTCACCCAATTATACCATCCGCTCTTGGGAGCGCTGTTGTGTGTGTGTGCCCGTGGTTTCGGTCCCATTCCGGTGGACATGAGTCTATTTATTTATTTAGCTATTTGGACGCTCAACCCACATCTTGAAACAACTGGGAAAGCAGTTCAGAAAGAAAAACATAGGCCTAAATCAGAGTACTTAGGGTAAATATAGGGAATTCTTGGAGCAGAGAGACAATGCCCATAAATGATAGGCTGCATTTTGCATAGCTGATTGGGGTAGCTTTTTTGCCATAGTTTTTAATGTTTCTCCATTGTGAAACGTTGGTTGTGCGACATTGTTAAGCATGCGAACAGGTACGCGCATAGCTGGTGCGCAAATACGCATTCGCCGTCTATAATGCGATGCGCGCGGTAATTTCTTGTGGTTACAGCGCAGATGCGTACTCATTTTAATAAATTTGCGCTGTTATGGCAAGACATTACCATGCATTTTAACCTTTTATACGACTAATGCGTACTTCTTCGGCGGTATAAGGGTTAAAATACACTGTAATTTCTTTCATAACAGAACAAATGCATGTGAAATAAGGACGACAAGAAATTGCCGCGCATATCACGGCCATTCCGTACTTGCGCGCCGTTCACGTGCATCCCCACGTAAGAACCAGCAGCCTCTTGCATGCTGAGCAACGGGTAACTATTTAAACGTAAACATGTAAGTATGTGAACGTTGTGGACTGACTCACATCTTGGCATCCCTACAGCCCCCTCTTCCTTGACCATATTGTCTCTATTTTACGACGCCGGCTGTTGACTGAGCTGGAACGAGCAAACCACCCAAACCGTCAGATGTTTCCACCGGCATTCCAGTGACACCGGGGCCCGGCGTCAAGCTCAAAGTCGCGGGCTCTCCATCTTCCGCTCAAGTTTCCGTCTTCAAGAGAAGCCCACCCACCCCTGACGCTTATTGCTGTTCCCACGCATCCTCCGATCCAAAATATACCAAATAGCAAATCTGCCCCTATGAGGCCAGAGCAGATAACCCAGCCACAAGAGTTACAGCGTACTTAGTTGTGTTCAGACGGATTTCATGCTGGAGTTACACCGAGTCTTAGGAAGCTACTGACGCAAATGCACAGACATACACACATGGAACCTGTTTATATTGAGTTATAAAGGCAGTGCAGCCTTAAATGTCAAACTTGTTTTATGTAGATCAAACCTTTCTGTAGCTTGTTGGTGAGATCATAATGTAGTGTATATGCACCATAGTAAGAACTACAGTAACAATGCAATAAGACCTCTGCGATCTTTTCAGACATTTGTAACTTGTTCTTCAGCAATGGACAAAATTTCTATCAGAACACATAAAGAGCTTGTAAATCAGAAAACACCACAATGCCTTTTAATTGGTGAAAACTATTGCTTAACCTCTGGACTAGCTGAGGTCACAGTAAAGTGAGTGTAGTGCATTCTGCAAGATAACTGTTTGGAAGAATAAAAATAATGGTGATGAACATTGTTTCAGTATGCGGAAATGTCCAGTGACTTTCTACAGCACTTTGAACAGGAGTGTGAAGTGCTGTTTTGGAAAGGGGGTGAAGTTCCTTTCAGATGCTAGGAGGACACGTCGTCATATTAGCGTACATTTTTGTGGCTATTTTGAAGGACCTACTTAGAGTTCTCCGAACAGGAGGCCGCAGATGATTTTTTTTCCTGGTATAAAAAAAGAGGCACAGAGTTACTCTGTAGCTGTTTCCATGACTCTCGGTTGCATTTCTTCCAAAGATTTATGAACCGGCCATTCTTACAGTCCTTTCCCATTTCCCTTCCGTTACACTTACAGAAAGATGCTTTTTCTTATTGTATTATTTCAGGACTGTGCACCATCTGCCCGTGTTGTTGAGGAGTGTAACTTTGTCTGCCACTGTTTTTGAGTAAAATGACTGTTATAGCCTCCTAAAAGTTCCCGGTGTGAGGGTCTCGTGAAACCATGACGACGAAACAAAGCTAAACGTTACCCCCCCAAAGCCCATTTTGCTCTAGATAATTGTAGCCAACACTACAGTGAGTCTTAACCATTTTAAAAAACTGCATTGTATCTTTAATATTCTTCTTTTTTGTGGAATATCGCATCAGCTGTCATCAGTGTGTTTTTCCACTATGTTTACTTATTGCCAGCTTCGTATTGTTCTTATTTTCTAACGTTGAATAGCTTCTGCCGTCTTCATAAATCAGCCTCCGGCGCAGGTCACATGATGCGGTGATGCTGGTCGCGTACCAGCACTGTGCCACACGTCCCAGAGCTTATTTGTTAAGATTCCCCTCTCGGCTAAACTGATATCGTCCTAATGGATGGCTTTTTTGTGTGTTTGTGCGTGAGCGTGAGGGTGTTTCCCCACAAAAAGCCATTTGCGCCATATGGGTAAATGGATTCTAGCGTGATAAACGCTTCCAGAAGAATATAGCATGAAACAGCTGCGTAATCACTGGCTGTGTGCAGTGCATTGTCAGGCAACACGCCACACCGATGTTTCTGCTATTTAGCCATTTATTTTCAGCCCTAATCTGTCAGCACATTCATATCTAGAAACAATTGGAACACAGGCCATTATTCTGCACAGCCAAAAACGCTCTATTGAGGTTACAGTATCTTTTACAGGAAACTTAAGGGTTTGTTGACTATACAGACAGAATGTATAATAGAAATTCTAACCAGCCAGCAATGGATGTATTAAAACCAGGATTTTGCTGTCTGTGGCCCATTTTAAATTTTATTATCATGATTATTATTATCTGGAAGACAGATAATAATAATTATTTTATTTTTTTTGTTCTTGTTTAATCGGCGAGTTCGTACTGAAACATGATCATACATGCTGGTTGTATAATAAAAAGGCATATAAAACAATGAAATGCTCCATCCCAAAAGCTGTGCTAAGATTTCAGTTATAAAAAGGCATATAAAACAATAAAATGCTCCATCCCAAAAGCTGTGCTAAGATTTCAGTTATAAGAGCAAAAATCGCTCTTCTGACTGTAGAAACTACATAAGGCCTTCCAGTCTCATCCAGCTGATAGCAAACACCCCCATATGCTTCAGTGCAAGGCACCAGGCCACCCATGGAAGCTCAGGTTGGGAATTTTAGCCTGAGATACTGCCTTCATCAGAGGCAATTCTAGAGTCTGACACGTGGTTAAATCTTCTGAGAGGAGGGGGGTCCCCCACAACAAAGTTTGCCAAGCGACGGGTATGAAATGTACGGGAAAGTCCAGGACAGTAGGACAGATCACTAAATGGTTTTAGAAATACTATTTTTTCAGGGGGGTTGGGGGGGCAAGACAAAAAATAGGGGTTCTAGAACCATCTACGGTCTTAATGTGCTCATTGCCTCACAATCTCTGTTCCCCAGGTACAAAGCTTCCCACCCATGAGAGCTGCACCAAATAGGGTAATTAGCCAATCAGGGTGGAGATGCCGCCCTTCACTTAGATGGCCCTCCTAGTCGTCTTGGTGTTCCCGCAAATTTCACTCCTGCACCCTTCCTTCCGTGGCGCAAAATGCAGCTCCTCTTGATTCCCAAGAACCCCACGACGCCTCTACAGGAAGGCCGCAGACAAAGGGACAATGGGCTTGTCTGTGTTTTTGTTACCTGCATCTCATCTTCTGCTCACAAAGAGAAGAAACGTTTCTCCGCCTTTTTCTGTTTCGCTAAGAAAAATAAAGGAACGCCAGTACTTGTGTCACTAGACCTGCGATAGTTACACACATCTTAAGCCATCCAATACAACAGAAGCCAGCAAGGTTTTCACCATAAGTGCCTCCTACCTCCACTTGCCCAGGTTACCATCATCCAGGTATGCTTTCAAGTTTACCCACAGTCCCTATTCACTGCACTTCAATTAATTTGTCTTCCTATGGTAGCTTCAAGCTTGTGGGAGTTTGAGGGCAGAAGGAAAAAAGATTGGTACAGAGAGATGACCAATCAGATTGTAGAGAAGGTGGGTCCAAGCATCTAGAGGAGGCGGGGATAAGAAATCTAATTGGTTGGTCCCGCCTCCTATAATTGCTTGGACCCACCTCCTCTACAATCTGATTGGTTATCTTTCTGAACCAATCTTTTTTTGTCTTCTGCCCTCAGAATATTTTTGTGTAAGTAAAACTCCCATGACCTATATTCAAAGCATACATTCGTAGTTGCTCCCTGTTTTAATAAATGCTTTTAACAAATGATTTTGTACTACAAGTTCTCCGCTCAATCAAAACGAGGAAGAAATAGGAGATCGATAAAAATTATTCCCGTAAAGGGCCTCCGCCTGAGGTTTCTTCTTCCCATTAAATGCCTTTATTTCCCCTTCATGCCAAAAGGGTTTTTATGGTCAGGCTGCCACGATGCCATCAAGTGGAGAAAAGAAGAACTGGCGTCTGAGGGCAAATGGAACCAATTATAAAATAACAAAAATGCCAGCTTGCGTTTCTGAGTCGCTCAATCAATTTCCATGCTCATACAGAGCATGCATGCTATTTATTAATGCGGAGAAAAAGATAATCTGCAATATATTTCTTCATTAAATGACATTCCTGGCATGTTATTGGAACTCAGGCACAAAATCAAATCAGTTTTCTTATTAAAGCAATTAGGGTAAAACGGTGGCCTCAATTATTAATTATAATAAGCCCTATATTATTAAACGATATTGGTGGCAGGTAAATTGTAACGCTCATGTTCTCTGGAAACACGCGTGTTGTTAATTTGAAGCGCAAAAATGAATATTCCGTAAACAGAAGACGCATCGGCCATAGCCTGCGGGCGAAATGCCCCAGTTGTCGCAGCGGCCACCGAGCGGCGCTTGACACCTTCTGCGGCCCCGCGGTGACCGGCGCTCCGGCCGCGACGCGACTGCTGCCGAGCCGCTGCTGCGCTCCCGAGACCGTGCTTCGGGCCCCGATAGCCGCGGGAAACCCGGGAGATCCCAGGCGGAGCTGCTCGTGTACAGGTAAGTCCCCCTTTAGAATTAGCTGCTTTTACTTTTACTTTAAATAAGCTGGATACTTTGTGAAAACAGTTCAAGTGAAATAGACTAGTTAAGTTAATTCGTGACGGCGTTATGGACGGTACTCATGCTTTAGGCTGCGTTATTTCTCTTAATTTATTTTAAGTTTGCGTATTGCTGCATTGTCTCCAAGTTTTACAATGAATGCTGAAGTTTGAGTCTGACAGCCTGTGGATCCGATTGCATTGGGACGGGCGCAGCTCCCCACTGTCCCCAGTTCCAAAGGCATCTCCCCCTTACTCCTTTAAAAGACGATCAGCGGCATTTTAATACGTCCTTTTATTTCAAAATAACATCTTTAAATGATGAGCGTAACTTTATTGGGTTGCCATTTTCTAAATGTACCTGTATAGTCGCCTTGCAGCCCTTCGATATAAATCTGCTTATTTCATATTAAAGTAATACGTGCGTATAAAAGGAGATGTGTCGGTATTAAATCCTCTTCATCTCCCAGAAAAAGGATGCAAATCCAAGAACAATGAATAAAATGCCGACATTCTGTTTACAGGGGGACAAATACTATACAAGGTGCAATATATTTCGTATACAACTGTATCCTAGACTATAAAACAGGCATCAGCATGAATTATTAATGGAGAATTTATGTTTTGGCGTAAGGTTACTTTCAATTGTATGCATTGAAGCGCCATAAATATATCACAAACAGACGACTTTAATAAAGAAGTGCTTTTCTCCTGTTTTATTAAAAACTAGATTAGATAAATCAACAAAAAGCCCGAACAAATGTTATTACAGAATACAGTCTGGGAGAGACGAGAACCGAACGGATGAAGCCTTCTGCCAAAGTCAATTAATGTAACTGTGGGTTATAGGGCAATCTGCAGATGTTAATCCTTGTTAAGAGCATTAGATGACAATCAAGGCCTGTATAGGCAGACTCTGGTGTGTAGACCGTACCTGCGTGTAATACTGCCTCAACGTTGTATACCGTATTTAGATTACAAACTGTCAAATGTAAAGGTAAGAGGTATTTCTCAGTCATAGTTCAGTAAGTCTTGTTGAAGTGTACCGACATAACCAACTCTAAATAGACTTAGATAAATGATCAGCACCACTTGCTAGTAATTAATTAATCAGTGTCTGCAATAAATCAAATCAAATATGATTTGTTGTATATCTGAAGACTTGCAGGTCAGTGGGTAACAGAATTCTTTTCTAAGATCTTGACTTAATAGGAATTTGCAGGCATTTCTGCGTGTTATGGAAATATTACACCAAAACACATCAGTCAGCTATAGATAAGTCCTTCCCGATATAGAATGAATCGGCCAATTTCTGGTTAGGCTTGTAAACTTCACAAATATTAGGCATTTCTTTTCCCCCTCACACTTAGCCAGAGTGAGTGGCAGTCGATGCTGCATTCACCTTAAATAAAATAATATACATTTTCATATGTTTGCATTTGTTTTCGTTGAAGGTGCCTTTGGTTCACTGCTCATTCACGGATCGCGTGTTCGCGTCTCCCACCATCTGCTCTCTTTGCAGGTTTTGATGAAAAACCGCCGTTATTCTGACTAGCTCTGGTAACGCTCAGATAGAATGACTGAAGCAATTGGTGAGTCTTCCTTAAAGCTCCTTCTTTTATTTAATTTTTTTTTTCTGAACGCCAGATGCCAGCTATCAGCATCATGCTGAAAAGAAAAATGTCAATGACGTTACCCCGATCTCCCAATTTTTCATATTATAATTATAAGCCTCCTCTTCTTTTATAAAGTAAAATAATTGAAATGTTTATGTAAATTGAAAATATTAACTTATCAGATAATTAAATAACTTCATGGCCGAAATAAAATGCATACTGAAAAGGAAGTTTCTGTAAGATGAGGCATCTTGCTTTATCTAATCAGTTTCAGGTACGCTAGTCATACGGCTTATTCTTTAGTACAGCAACATAGCAGCTGTACGTGTTTAGCCCAGGCATTCTTCAGAGGGCAAGACACTAAACGGCGAAGGTTAAATGGGGTTGTGTTTGCAAATTGTGGAATATCTCGCCCCAATGTCTCTGCGGAACAAAAGTAACCAAACCTCTGGGAGTGAAAGAATGGAATTTTCCGGAGAGGAGAACAGAGCGACATTATTGTGATGTTCTGCCCTCTGCTGAGATTTGGCCACCCCACCGATCTCTCTGTGCTCAGCTTGTGTTGCACTCTTGTAATTTATATGCTGTGGTAAACATTCACAATTGTGTTTTGTGTTCATTTCCCAGTTTTCCAGTCGTGTCAGAATGCAAATGCATTAGTCCAGAATTCACTTTAATGTTAGCACAATATTTTTAGGGTTATAAATAATTTCAAACAGCATACTGAAAGTCAGGAAGTAAAATCCTTTTTTTTTAAATTGTACTGTTGAAAGGAGAGTTTTTTTATTTATTTTTTGATTTCTCAAATTAATATAATCACATGTCATTATCAATTGCTTCCAAAAAAGGTTTCTGCTGGAATGATAGTAGCTTTTTAAGAAAAAAAAATCCTCATAATTTACGTCTAGTTTGCGTGCAGATTAGTGATTTAATACTCCCATGATGAAATTCAGGGGACATAATAATGGTCACCAGATGAGGAAAACCTGTCAGTCTACATACCCATAGTCCTCTGCCATTTGGTGGTCTATCCACAATATTAGCCAACTGTAGCTAAATACATGGTTATGTTCATGCTGTTATGACGCTTGTGAAATAGCTTATGAGACTGTCCCAGCATTTTCTAAGCATTAAATCCCAATTCGTTATTGGCTGCGGTAATTTTGACATTCATAAGCCATCAGGGTTTCCACAATGTGGCCCAGTCCTGCCCGGTTGAGTTCACATATTCGCAGATTCGAGGGAAGACCCAGAACCGTCACACAGACAATTTCATTAGGCCGTGAGGAAATCCCGCTGTTATGGGAAGAGTCGTCAGGCTCTCAGACAGCTGCTTTGGTGTAAATAATGGTGAGGCCTGTTCGATCTAAAGCCCTAATAGCTTTACAGCATCCTGACCTGGAAGGTATCTTTTTTAGCTCATGGGAGTTTTACTTACACAAAAATGTTCTGAGGACAGAAAGAAAAATGATTGGTTTGGAGAGATAACCAATCAGATTGTAGAGGAGGTGGGTCCAAGCAACCAGGGGAGGTGGGACTAATCAATAAGTTGCTTGGACCCACCTCCTCTACAGTCTGATTGGTTGGTTATCTCTCTGAACTAATGGTTTTTCCTTCTGCCCTCAGAACAAATAAACTCCCACGAGCTCTTTTTTTTTATTCAAACTTGCATCACATTAATGCAACGCATGACCCAACAGATACCCAGCGTGCCTTGCAGGCCGTGGAACGCCTACAGGCCAAGTTGAAGGCCAGGGGGCATGGTCCCACGGAGGAGAAGCTCAGCCTACTTAGGGCTCTTCTCCTGAGCCCTCTGTTCCACCAGATTCTCACCCTACAATCTACATCTGCCCATGAAGAGGCCCAGAGCCAGGTGGGTTCAGGAGAGTTTTAACGGTAATTTAACGGTAATTTAACGGTAAAAGAATAATCTGCAGTCTGAAAATTAGTCATTTGCATTGTTCTTTACTGTCTTTTCCATTTTATTTAAAATGAAAATCATCCACAATAATTAGTGTTTAGGTCAGATTGGTTTTTGCATTTATGCTGTACACTGTTAAGTTTGATTCGGTTATAGATGTTTGGTAGCGGAATGAGTATAGGGTTTTTTTTTCAGTGTGGTGACATTCTGACTTTTTTAGCAGATGAATTCTGCCCTTGCACGTTTGGGCACGGCGACACGCCGCCATCGATGACGATACAGGCTATACTCCACAAAACTACTTTGCTGGTTAATTTAATCGAAACATCCGTCTATTCACCCATCCATCTTTAGTCCGATTTTCCTGGCCAGGGTTACGCAGGGGGAGGAGGGGGAAACTGGGGGAGCCTGTCCCAGGCAGGGCCGGAGACCGGGTGGGGAGTACACCCCGGACTGAATCTTAAGCAAAAACATGCTGCAAGCAAAGATTCAATTTGTGCCTGGTTTCCAGCTTTAAGACGGGAGTCTGAACAGGGAAGAGCCTTCAGACTCAGGCAGGGTGTTGCCATGGCAACAGCCTGTCGGGGCAGAACCGGTTCTTTAAATGTGCAGCAGCCAAACTGGCACTGTAATCTACTTACCCAAGGTGACCAACGCAGCCCCGAGGGCTAACGGTGTCCCAGTGCGCTGAGGGACTGGTAGCTGGTTGTAAGGCGTGCTTTGGACTCCCCCGTGTCGCCGGTGTACGGTGACTGAGAAAAACAGAAAAACAGAACTCTGTCTATTTGCTGCACGCTTTAGCAGGAGATTATATGCAGTGTGCAGCAGCAGGATTGCAGCGAAGGTCAGTAGTGGCGTTAGCTATCCACAGCTACGTTTCACATTAGCCTCCGCTGGGCGGACAGACTCTGAATTATTTTGTTTTTTTTTTCCTGTTCTGTCTGTTCTGTTTCTTCCAGCATAAACATAAACATTAAAAGAGAGTCAAAATAGCAGAAAGCGTCAGTAAGTCACATGAGGAACAGAGATTTCAGCAGAAGATAGACGGCCTAAATTATTGCTACTGAAAACATAATTCAGCTGTCGCTGCAGTTTGACCTATTTCACTGGGCTGGATATTTCTTGGTCATGAGAAATATTTTTGGATGTCAGTTTGGTAGGAAAATCCCAAAACGGTGTTTTTTTCATTGCTGATTAGTTGACTAATTTTCTTAGATTTCTCATGTCGGAAACGCATTTCGCCTTTTACATTTCCTTAAACAATCTGCCATTCGTCTGATAGATTGAAATACTACGTAAATATTTTGTGACAGCTCATCAATCCTTAATTGCTTAAGGGTCTGACTGGGACTGCGCCAGCAATGCATGCAATTTCCGAAAGGTTCTGCACCGAGAACCACGCTTTGAGGGCAACATGCACAGTTTTGTTCTTTGCGGCACTGAAAGAATTAATTAATTACATATGACGTAAATATCACATCTGCTATCATATTTAGTAGTCACTTTTATCCAAAGCGACATGCATTTTATTGGGGTGAGTGCACCATCAGCCAGTCGCTGGAGCAATCAGGGGCTAAGGGCCCGGCTCAAGGGCCAATCGGTTGCATCACTGTTGACCGTGGGATGCGAACCAATGACCTTCAGATCACAGACACAGCGCACTAACCCACCCAGCCACACATTACCCCCATCATGTAAATATAAGTTGTATTCATATGTTTTCTTTGTTATTTATATGTCCTGTTTATCATTGTCTGTGCCACACTGGATCCAGAAGGTCGCTTTAGCCATATCAAGCGGCTGTCCAGAGTTGAAACCCGAAACCAGCGACTCTCAGGTGTTCTCTGCCGGGAGCGATTCGGGTCCCCAGGACGGCTGTCCCGCAGCTGCTGGGGACGCGTCAGTACCCCCCTCACCCACGCAGAGCGGCAGCGGCCCCTCCGGGGCCCCTCCCAAGCCCCTCTTTCTCCGCATGACTCAGGTACATGGCCCACAACGTTCTCTTTACGGTCTGTTGTGGGGTCGGCGTGTATAATTCCAGGGCCCAGGATAAAATTACTTCAACCAGCCCCCCTGATGTGCAACCCCTCCCGTGAGGACCCTCTCTTAGGCCCCCCTGGGTCTGGGCCCTGGAAAATTTCCCCAGTTGTCCCCCCTAGACAGCGGGCCTGGTTCATTATGTTACAGCTGGTTTTCATGGAGCTCTCAAACTTTCTTTGTTGCGTTGCGCATTCTTGCTGACTTCAAACAGAAAGTGTCAGCATTGCATTCAGTACCAAAGAAGGTTTTGCCTAAAGTAACTCATGTGTCACTTGAATGTTCCCCCCCTGGATGGTTATTGAATGATGGTTGCTAAGGGGCCGTAAACATCTGTCGGACAGGGCCGCTACGTGACGGGCGTTGAGCTGGCGAGGAGTCCGTCTGAGGGGCCGGGTTTTGCCGTGGTCAGTCTGAGGAGCCAGGACACGGGGGATCCGGGTGTCCTTCTGCAGGATGTTCAGCTGGGCAGTGCTGAGAGCAGGTATTCCCTCACGGTTCGGTGGAGGAACATCACAGTTTAAGCCAGGGTTCTAAAACTCCAGTCCTAGAGGGAGCCCTGTCTAGCTTAGTTTTTTTCCCTGTTCCAACAGAAGTGATTCAACTCAAGGGCTGTGTGGTAATTAGGTAAGTAGTTGAATCAGGTGTTTTTAATGAAAGTAAATCAAAAACTGTGCAAGGCTCCGGCCCCCCAGGACTTGAGTTTGAGACCCCTCGTTTAAGCAGAAAGGTTTCGGGCCAAAATCACGGGTTAGCTATCTGTTTTCTTTCATAGGGAAAGCACTCTTAATTATTTTAAGGTATATACAGTAAGCACTTTTTTATATATGGGGCGGGGCCACAGGGTCACTGGCTCCAGCTGAAAGCTGATTGGCCCCCAGAATGCCCCTCCCCTGTCACTCATTGATTAAAAACACATCATTGGCTAAACACAAGTTTGGCCTCTCTGCATGAATTATGGCCCCTCATCTGCACTGTTATATAAACATTGTCCATGTTCGCCATGACTTTTCAGGCACAGAGTGGCATCTCTCACTCCGTAGTGCAAACTGTAGGCTGTCGTGATGCTTTGCGATTTCTTGAGCCCATTGTCCACCTCCCATGCCTACAGGAAGCTGAGGGAAGGGGACATCCTAGCTACCAACGAGCATCTGATGGACCAGCCAGTAACACAGGAAAAGGCTGTGGAGCTCCTGCAGGATCACACGGACGACGTCCTTCTCAAGGTCACCCGAGGTCCCGTCCCATACCTGGGCAGCCTAGCGGTGTTGCGCAAGGGGTCAGGACACCGTGGCGTGGAGGGAGCCCTGGAGAAGGTGGGGGGTGGGCGGAGCCGGCCTTCCATGCTGTTCCGTGACACTCCGTGAACATTAGCTTTTGAGCGTTGTGACCTCACGCGTCCCTGTGACCGCACGTGTCACCGAGGATTAATGAGGCTGCTAACGGAATTAAATGTGAATATATTCTTTGTTGTACCTTTAATCAAACTGGTCTACTTCACTGGTGAAGGAATATATCGTGGAAGAAGTTGTTGAGTCAGAGTGTCACACACTTTTTCTGGAGGGATTAGTACAGGGTAGAAACTTCTGGACCTCACGAGCCAGAGGCTCCTTGGGATTTGGTATCTTAACTAAATAGGCTTGATAAGTTCTTTGCATATTTTAAGCGAAATCAGTCATGTTATTTAAGGACTGGATGGCATTCCTTGGCCTTGTTACACAAACCTTGTGCAATTTGAGGAATATGTTTACATTTAAAATTAATAATAAAATAATAAAGAAATTGGTAATTTACTATAATCTGAATTAAATCCATATAAATTTACATTGCGAGTAATTTACCGTAATCACTAAGGAACTAAAAGCAATTAATTATTTACTGAAACGATTAATAATTTAACAAGGTGGAATATATGTAGGCTTATATTTTTGGGAAGATCTTTAGTAATCTTTAATAGTAAGATAAGTATGGTTTAACACATATGATTTAATAACACACACACATGTGTGTGTGTGTGTGTGTGTGTGCGTGTGGTGGGGGTTGGGGGATGTGCATAGACCACATATGGGGACCAAAATTTCCCCAAAGTGCAGTAAAACCTGAACTTTTTTTCTTTTGGGGACATTTTTTCAGGTTTCCATTTGGATAACCTCAATTTTATAAAAATCTGTGACTGCACTCAAAAAACTAAAAATACCAGAAGTCTTGCATTTTCTTTGGTTACATATGGTTAAGGTTAGGGCTGGGTAGAGAATAAGCGTGTCATGGTTTGGATTAGAGCTTTTCCCAAAGAAATTAATGGACAGTCCCCATTTAGATAGGTACACGTGTGTGTATGTGTGTGCACGTGTGTGTGTGAGCGGGTATACCTTACCTAATGGGGACACAATGTCCCCACAACGTGATAAATAAACTGGTCTCCATAAGGGAAACCTCTATTTTATAAAAATCTGTGACTGCAATGAAAAAACTAAAAATGCAAAAACTCTTGTACTTTGCATTTTTCCCATAGAAATCAATGAGCGGTCCCCATAAAGATATGTTTACCCGACATGTGTGTATGTGTGTGTGTATGTGTGTGTGTTGAAGTCAATTAAACCTTTAATGATTGCCATTAGATTTATTGTATTTGAATGTTGCAATGAGTTCAGCCAAGCAGGGAACGCACTTACACAAAGTCATCCGAGGCAGCAGGCACTTGACAGCTTTCCTCTTAGTGGTAATTTCAAAGCATTAGAACCAAGAACCACAACTGGAGACTTGCTGCTAGTAGCAGAGGACCAGTACAAAGAAAATATACACAGAGGATAAAGTGAGTTTTGTGAGGAGTGTATTTGACACACATTCCTTGGAGTTGTTCGTGTTGACACTAGATGACAAATATTACACACCCGATAGATACGTTATTACGTACACCTAACTATCACTTGGTAGGACTCTCTTGTGCCTCCAGGATTGCCTCAAGGGTGGATGAGATGTTCGTTCAGAGGAGCCGTCCTGCACACCACTGTTGTACTGAGCTGTTATTTTCCCACCAGTGACCTTCCTGTTAGCTTTAACGAGTCTGGCCATCTTCCCCTGAACTCCCTCATTAGCATGGTGTTCTCAGCCGCATAACTGCCCCAGATCTGATATTATTTGTTCCGTCGCACCCCTTATCTGCGAAACGCTAGACTCCAGCACTGATGCGGAAATCCCAGGAGGATGAGTGTTTCCGAGATGCTGGGGCAGCCTTCGTCAGACAACAACAGTCACACTGAAATCGCTTCGATCCTGCGCCTTAGCGATCTCAATGCTTAGCCAAACTGTAACTTAACAACTTCTCCCTGTCTGGGTGCTCTGTGTTTTCAGCCGCATACCTAATAGACTGGCCAATGAGTGTGTGTATGTAGAACACATTTCAATAAGTGTAAAGGACTGAATGGTTGTAGTAATGTTACTCTTATATGGCAGGAGTGCAGTGTGGGTTTCTGTTAAATGAGACTCTGAAAATAGGTGTTTTCTTGGCTGATCTGCCCTCCTGTGTTTTACTGTAGCACTTCTTGCTGGCTTGTGGGAATTTTACTTGCGCAAAAATGTTCCGAGGGCAGAACGAAAAATGATTGGTTCAGAGAAACAACCAATCAGATTGTAGAGGAGGTGCGTCCAAGCAGCTAGAGGAGGCGGGACCAAGACATCTGACGTTGTCCCACCTGCCCTAGATGCTTGTACCTACCTCCTCCACAGTGATATCCCTTTCAACCAAGTTTTTTGAATTCTGCTCTCAGGACATTTTTGTGTAAGCTAAAGTCCCACGAGCTGCTTGCCGCCCTTTTGTGCCCCCTACAGAGTGCCTCAGAACAGGCAGAGACGACAGAGCCAATGAATGTCAAAGTCATCCTTCCCGGAGGAGCAGGTGATCAGGTACCACAGATGGGCCGGAATAAACATGTAAAAAGCAGGCAATGGTTTAGTAGGCCTGCCTCCAACACAAGCGGCTGTGTTTGCATGTGAAGTTTTTCCTGCACTTCTGCGACGATTCGCAGAAGATGTGATGAGGTCTGGACTAGTGATTTATGTCTGGAATGATTCAGTGCAAAAACACAAAACGAAACGGAATAATAAATTCTCGGCTTGGAGTTCTTGGGTAGCCGTGTCGGAAATTGTACCATTAAAAACATAAATTTTAATAGGATAGCTTAAATTGATAAATTGGGCAGGTCACATGGAGGAAAACGGATGGTTCGGGTTTCAGGAGCAGATTTGTTTTGTACCCCCTTAGTAAGGCACCAACCCTGAATTTGTCCAAAGAGTATTCAGCTAAATAAATCAATTATTGAAAAGTGTAAGTCAATAGTAAAAAAGGACCTACACGTTTTGTTTTAGCATTGTGCAAAGCTCTGCAGTGAATCTTCCTCAAGAACAGCTGGCCTGACAAAATTGCTCCAATAGCAAAATAAAAAGCAGCCAAGATGTCAGAAATAATACTAGGAAGATATCCTGGGACACTTCATATAAAATGTAAGACAGGCATGGAAGGCAGTAGGCTCTGGTCACTGCAGACAATGTGAACACCACTCTAAGCTTGCCAGAAATCGTCTGGAGGAATGTTGTGTGGAAGAGTTAGTCAAAAATGGACCTTTTGGCTGGAATGGACCCAGTCATATCCAGCAAAACCCAATGGTTGCATTCCTCAGTAAGCACCGCATACCAAATCTTAGCATGATAATGGTAGGGTCATGGTTTAATGTTGACCTCTTCAATCAGGACCTGAATGGCTCAACTTTGCTGAAGGTACCACTCAGTCTGAACTGTACCAGAGAACCCTAAGTGAGAACATTAGACCGTGCAGGTGGGAGCTGAACTTAAAGCATGGGTGGGTCATGCAACGGGATAATTCTTGGAAACAAAGTGGATGGTCAATGTCAGATTGGCTCAATACAAAAAAACTCATTGATTTATTGGATGAATTAGTCAAAGCCCAAAGCGAAAGCCCACTGAGATGTTAACGCCTTGTAGACTAACAGATGGGGCTGAGCTGAAGCGCTGCAGTGTGGAGCGGTGGGCCGGATTTCCTCCCTGGCGCTGTGAGAGATTGATCGGTCGCTGCAGGAGGTGTCCGCTTACAGTTAACTCACTGCTAATGGTGCCTAAGCCAGACCTAACTTCAGAGTGTATGGGGACATGCGAAGGCACTGAGTGTTACATAAACACATCAAAATTCTGTGCTAATTTATTTAGTTTCCGTTAAAGATCTGAAAGCTTTTGGTAAGTGGGTTTTGGTAACATGAAAAATGGAAGACATCTTTTTACAGTGCTGTATGCTTTAGCCGTTTACCTAGAGCAGTACTGCCAAAACATGTCTTCTGGGAGTCACAGATGGTCCACGTTTTTGCTCCCTGCCAGACAGTGCAGGTTTTTGCTTCCTCCCAGTTCCCAGCGCAAAAACATAGACCATCTGCGAGTCTCTGAGTGCCGGATTGGGAAACACTGACCTAGAGGTTTGGACTAACTTCCGTGTACATTTTAGCGGGAACTAAATGATATGACACCCACTGTTCATCAGGATTGGTATTTAAGCTTGGGGGGGTCTGGGGACACCGGGCAGGAATGAGCACCAAACAGGTGACCATAGTGTGGCACCCATGTGACCACAAAGGCGACCACCGGTAGCACTGCTCATCCTTCAATGGCACTGCCTCTTATTGCTGAGCAACCAGAGACTCTGGGATGTCCTGGTACATCATGTGACCTCTAGAATATTCTGCTGCTTTTATGCAGAGACTTTTCAGAATGCAGTGGGACATACCGCATAATCATGAAGTGTCAGAGGAGTCATTTTGAATCCGAGCAGCGTGAGGGACTCGGCGCAGCGATCAGCATCGCCCCTCCCGGCAGGCGAGGGTTTCCGGCTGCTTCCAGATGTGTGTTCCCTTCCAGGGCCTTTCAGGCGTGTGTCTTCATTCTCGTAACAGGTTCACGACAGCGAGCAGCTGGACACCTTTGATGCGGAGCTCATTAAAAATGCTGAAGGATTAGGAATCACAGTCGCTGGTTATGTCACAGAGGAGAGCACTGGTAATAATACTTCATCTTTTCTACAGTTTATAAGCCATATTTATACTACTGATTATTTTATTTTAAATAAATTATTTGCTTTATATTTGTTATGTAATGTCCAAAGACTTTTTAATTATGACCATCAGTATAGTTTGTTTGTCTTAATGAATGGCTCATACTGCAATGATAAAATATAGTAAATCTTAGTTTTTTTAATGTACAAATTAAAAAAAGATGCTTTTTTTGCAAATCCCTTGATACAGGATCCCTTGGCACCTTTGTGAAGAGTGTAACAAAAGACAGTAAGATCGAGCAAGATGGCCAGATCCACGTTGGCGACCAAATCATAGCGGTGAGTGTCTCTGCAGGATCATTTTAATCCCTTAATCATCTATTTTTCTTTTTAATAAATGCAGATTTTCAATTAAAAGCCACTTTAGATTTATATGAATACATTAACTGGCTTGTGTGACAATGTGAGGTTTAATTAATTCCCCTCTTGCCTTCTAAGTGATCAAATCGCTATCAATAATTTGTGACCCAAACAAAGGCTTAATGAGCATGGACAGCAGATCATTAGGTAACTGCAGACTTGATTAATAAGTTGATTGCGTTTCAGTCAAAATTACAGCTTCCCCATGCATATTACATACAAAGTATTCCAATAATCAGCATTTGTGTTGTTGTTTTTTTTTTCAAATGTTGCACAGTCGACTGTGGTATAATTGCTTACTGTTTCTGAATATTAAACAGCTGGGTTCAAAAAAACAAGTGCTGAGAGTCTAACCACAAGTGAGAGCATGAGGCAGCTATCCAGCTGTTCTGTTCTGGTAGCCGTCGTTCGTGGCGGCCATTTTGAAGACGTTTCACTGTGCATTTTTGTTTTTGTGTAGAGCGGCCGGTTGTGGCTGGTACTCTTATAACTTACTCTGTAGGCTGTGCGCTCATGTGCGGTTGCCCCCACAGGTGGATGGGACAAACATCCAGGGCTACAGTAACCAGCAGGTCACCGAGCTCCTAAGGGCTACGAGCCAGACCGTGGTCTTGAAGCTCTTAAAGCAGTCCCTCAGACTAGAGGATGGTCCAGCAGCCCCTCCAGCCCTAGAACCCGGACCATCGACCAGGGTGGCAAACGGCAACCAGCCCAGCGTGCATGATGTGGACCTGGGCGGAGCACTGGGTACTAAATGCTAAAGTCGATGCTACCAAAGATAGCCCTTGTTTTGTGTTTGGTAGCCCTTCACATTGTACAGCTTCAGCAAATGGCTGCGGTGGAAAGTATTTCCTGAAACTTCACAGAGAGAGTTTATGCCTCTCCAGTAGTAACCCCTAGAGAAGGTGAGATGAACATAAAAAAAAAACAAAAAAACAGCTGATCAGGTATAATTAACTTCAAAAGTGTCTTCATTAGATAAAGGTGTGATGAGTGAAAATGAGACAGGTGGATGTAATTTCCCATGTCACACAAAACCGAATAGCCCCCTCTCGTTTGTACATTTCTTATGTTCTTGTTCTTATGAATTTGAACGATTTTTGATGTATATGAGTTTTATGTCATTGTATTGTATGCGATTCTGCCTGTCACAGACGAGAAACTGCGTCAATCCCAAACTGCGGCTCCCAGCTCCAACCTTGCTGAAGACCAGGCAAAGCCAGATGCACAAGGTCGTAGTGCACCTTTTATTAAGTTATGCGGTTACCGTCGTCTTAGACTAATGGTCAGTTAATGAAAACAGACAGGCAAATGGAATACGTACACACTTTATATAATAAGTTCCCCAAGGAATGCAAATGAGGCCAGCGGGAAGATTTCAGAAAACTGCCGGATTTACATATGACTAATTCCATGTGATTGCTGACAAAGAGCGTTTACATATGTACTTCTTGCCGAAATGCATGCAAATGTATGCGCACACATGTTCGCACGTTCTGCCTCATTAAAGGCAAGCCTCGGAACGGAGATAACGACAGAATGTTTATGCATTTCTTTCAAGGGGCTACGTTGACCATGCCTGCAGAAGATGGAAATCTGGAAAGCGTCCTTGAACAGAAAGCTATCGTACGTCAAGTCGAAGAGCACTCCCTCATCACTTACATTATTGCGTAATCAGTCATGCTGCTGTTACCGGTCTAGGGGTGTGATTGGTAAAGCGGGTTTACAAGCAGAAATCTAGTGTAATATTTTATAACGGCTTTAGGATAATTTTATTTTACGAATAAAATAATGTGCTAAAAAAGCGGAAAAAAGAGCTAGTTTTTTTGTGTTATGACACCAGCTGGGTAAGGATGAGGCACATTGTGGGAGTGGCAGGAAGAGCATCAATTTTCAGCCAGAAGGGCGGCGCCGTTGCAGAGCCTCAGCCATGTCAGAGGGCCCCGTAGGGCTGACTGGAGAGCCGTGTGCTGAGGAGAAGCCTCTGGAGGTCAGTGCTCCTGAACCGCACATGAACCATCTGCACAGGTTCAGATCACCATCAAGGGTATTCAGTTACCGCCTTTGTTTTGCAAATTGAAAAGGCCAGTTTTACCCATGTACTCACATCAAATGAGAAATATTTGTGTCATGTCGTATTTTAGTTTTAAGGTTTTACTGTTTACATTTTATTTGACACATGAGGGTCGGATGACAGGAAACTGCGGATTCAGCGATGCAGTCTGGGAGAGACAATCCAAGTGATTAGCTCTAGGATACGGTTATGGGATGCATCTGGGAAAGCGATTTAAAGAGATGAGCGTGAAGGCTGCAGTGGAAAGTGCTGGTCACTCTGCTCTCGTGCCGCTTCGCTTGTGTTAGGTCACCGGGGTCCCCCTCTTTGGTGAAAGCACAGAAGAGGGGCGGGACATCCTGAAGGGCCTGCCAGCAAGTGTGTCCATGGTGACAAGTAGTCCTGCCAAATCTGGGCTGAGTGACAGCAGTGCTGACCAATGCCTTGCAGCGGAACCGTCCCCTGATGAAGAACCTGACAAGGTTTAGTCATCCTTGTCAACTGATCATGTCTGAGTTTTGCTTATTATTATTTTTTTTAATCAGTGTATATCTAGATTATGACTGCGATACTCAGAATAGGATATTTTTATCGTCTCACAGATGTTTTTAGGTGCCACAAATAGCCATTTAGCATTTGTTCATCCATCCATCACAGCGAAGAGTAGAGATTGTGCTCCTATTTCTATTTCCCACTAATGCTGTGCACATTTCAGACAGTGTGTGATGTCCTTACAGTCGACTCTGATATGAAGGCATACGAGATTCATTGTCACGACACAATGCAGAAGGAATGTAAGGGAAAAAATGAAAACAAAAAACATTTGCATTTCATTTATTTTGCACAGGCTTTTCATCCAATGTAGTGTAGGCAGGGGCAGGCAGTTCTTGGTGCAGTTGGGGGTTAAGGGCCTTGCTCATGGGCCAAATGGTGACATCACTCTGCTGACTATGGGATTTGACCCAATGACCACCCCCAACATTAACATTATTCTGTTGAGAAGAGCAAATTAACAAAACCGAGACGGAGGCAGACAGCATCTGGATGAGCGTTTATAGCAGTGTTTCCCAATCCGGTCCGCGGAGACCCACAGCCGGTCCAGGTTTTTGCTCCCTCCCATCTCCCAGTAGGAGCAAAAACTGTCTCTGGGTCCCCAAGGACAGGATTGGGAAACACTGGTTTAAAGTACTATAAGACAAAGGTGTGAGCTATATGCCAAAGTGCGTAATCCACCCTTTGAAGCTTCAGGAAGGATCCCAGAGAGACAAGGACACGGGCCCCGACATGGATGACATCACAGGGGCCGAAGTTCCTGTGGAGACGCCGGACTCTACTCTGGTCATGTGGGAAACTGAGATACAGTATATCGACCTGGAGAGAGGGGACTCCGGCCTTGGTTTCAGCATTTTAGATTATCAGGTAAGTGCTTCGGAGTGTGGTGGGGCATATAGTAGATAAAGCAGGAGCCACACTATATGATGTGTGACTTGGGAGCGATTTCAGCCAGTTCACCTCGTAACTCTTAGTAATGGGCGGTGTTTTCGGAAGCCGTGTTTACTTTTCTGTACGGAATTCAGCCCATAAAGTCCGGCTGAGATAAATCTGTGGGTAAGAGTCGGCAGTCAGGCCGGGAAGATGAAGCTCAACGTTGTTCTTAGAGCATATGTGACTGTGAAGCAGTGCTTCATTAAGGCTGCGTGTTTCCAGTCCCGTGTCATGAGATAATTAGTCATCACAGCATGCATCTGTCGCAGGACCCCGCGGACCTGGCAAAGACAGTGATAGTCATCCGCTCACTGGTGCCCGACGGGGTGGCGGACCTCGACGGGCGCCTCTACCCGGGGGACCGGCTCGTCTCGGTGAACGGCGCCGACTTGGCAGACGCTGGCCTGGAGGAGGCGGTGTGGGCGCTGAAGGGGGCGCCCGCCGGGGCCGTGAGGCTTGGCATCACTAAGCCGAGATTTGTAAGAGCGCCCCCTGTCGCCTGCTTTCGCCAGCACACTCATTCCGCGCTTTCATTCTGCTGAAGGGCCTGCAGTGAAGCGTCCAGTTACACGCCGTTAATATTTAATGTGCGAGAAATTTACACAATGTGGAGTATCGCGTTCAAAGCTGCCATCTGAGCCGCTCGCCGCCGCGTATCGTCCTTTACGCGAAACGCTCAAGATAGCAAGGTCTGCGAGCTTGAGCTGTCTGCTTTTTATCTGGTATGGAAAAGTCGCTGCTGTGAGGGCATTTAGCGGAGTCTGTGAGGTAAAACTGCAGAGTTTAACCTGAGTAATTCGGCGAGACAGAACAGGAGGAGCCCCAGGAGAAGGGTGGGGGTCTGCTTCCGACAAACTCTCCATCATCCGAGAATCAGGTAAGGCCGCCTTGTTCAATTTTAAGTCATCGTCCCCCTGGTCAGGAAGCTGAGGTAAAACAGGAAACCCCCCCGGCCCCCGGAGCCGGTGTATATGGTTACTCTAGGTGTCTAGAACGTGCCTGTTGTGGTATCATGGGATTTATTTTTCACTGCATTGCGTAGGTACGTCTGTGGTACGTCACCTCTAAATCCATCTGTGCAGCAACAGAGCCTCCTTCAGTCTTTGACTGTCACATTAAGGATGATACTTCTGATTTTTTTAAATTTATTACATTGCGTCCGAGTGATTTTTTTTTTCTCTAAGAGGTGTTTATTTTGGCCTCAGTCTGCGCCTTTTCTTCCCGCTTTGGGCAGATTGCTGATGTTTCCTCTGCTGATTTAGCCTGCCACACTTTACAGATGGACTCAAATGAAGCAGATTTGATGAATGAGAAGACATTTGATCCTCATTACTCAAAGGAAGAGGGCTCCTTCCAAGCCGCCACGCTGGCCGAGCCTGGCAGCACCTGGCGTGCCGGTCTGGACTGCCAGATGCCCACGCGGACGTCTGTGCCTGAGGTAGGCCCCCAAGCAGGGACAGGGACAGCAAAACACTTAAATGTTGGTCTAATCTTGGGAAGGCGCACAGTCAGAGATGTTTCCTCTGTCTTTTATCATTTGTGAAGGCCCAGATTTTTGATTACACCGCAGGCTGAACCCAAAATGTACTTTTATCAAGGGTATTAGGATTAATGCATAATAATGTGGCGACAGTGAATGACTTTCCATAAATTTCACTTTGGTACCTTGCCGGTACCTTGACATTGAGATAATATAGTAAAAAAATTTAAATTTAAGATGCTGGAAATGAATTGAACTATGCAGCAATGCAAGCATGTGTGAATTAGGTTCTGCAAACATGCGTCTTTGTGGCCCTAAAATGAAAAGAAAACGATAAATATGTTTGATTAGAAATATAATGCAGTGATAAGTGTCTGGGGGGGGCACGGTCACCTTGCACCTCTGGGACCTGGGTTTGAGTCTCTGCCAGGGTTCCATGTGCATGTTCTCCCCGTGTCGTCGTGGGGTTTCCTCTGGGTACTCCAGTTTCCCCCCCACAGTCCAAAATGAGGCTGATTGGAGTTACCAAGCCACCCATAGCTGTGTGTGATTCTGCTCTGAGATGGCTTGGCATCCTCATCCTGGGTTGTGCCCATAGGCTCTGGACCCTGTGTGACCCTGAATAGGATCCATGCTTACAGAGGTAATGGGTGGATAGATGAGTAACTGTCTGCACAGAGCAAACCTTATAGGCATTTTAGTAATAATCAGCCCTGGCTTCTCATAGTCCAATCCCAATAATGATGGCTCTGAGGTTAGGGCTCTTTGCCAGCTATCGGAAGGTTGCTGGTTCAGGTCCCGTGAATGCCAGGAGTGATCCTACTCCATTGAGCCCTTGAGCAAGGCCCTTAACCTGCAATAGCTTCATCCTGGGTGTATGTTAATCTACATCCGGCCCTGCAAGCAGGTCAGCTTCCAGGGAATAATTTGGGGCCTGGTGGCAGGATTGATATTCCAGTCACCGGCAGATAAACTTCACGCTGGTCCATTCAGATTATTGTGGTGCTGAGGTATCACCTGCTGCACGGCGGCCCTTGGGTCTCATCCCTGAGGTGATTTGTCGTGTGGTGGGTGAGGCAACGTGCTGTAATCAGCACGCTCTCCTTACCTCTCTTCCAATAATCCTTTTTACATATATTTTAGAAAGAACAAATGTTTTTTTTTTTAATCAACCGGAGGTCAAAGTTTATCAGCCCTCAGTCCTCCTCATATAGAACATTTTATTTTCTGTTTGCTAAAAAATCAGGATTAATTGTGACTCTGATGGCTATAGAATAATCCCCGAAGTAGCTAACGTAGCCAAAATTTATATATTTCCCAAAAAGTAAATTATTACCAAGCTCTCAGCTGCCACCAGTTCCCAGAAACAGAGCTGCCGTTATGACTGCCTGCTTTCCCCCTGGTCATCCGTTATTCCTAGAAAAACGGTCCTTCTGAGGAGCAGAGAGTCGCGAGTGCTGTGAATTAATGGCAAGCTGGGATGGTAGCAGGTCTAATGGAGTACAGCCCCACAGAGCAGCGGCGGTGCGCGTTAGCAGAGTGCTCTGGTAAACATGCTTGCGAAGTCCTACTTCACTACGGTGCCTCGGAGGTCGGCCTGGGGTCTTGGCTCGGCACTCTGAGAAGTCGCTCTGAATTAGCCACTTGAGCAGCGTTTAGGTGCAAATGGGGGAGGGGGGGGGGAGTGACCTGAGTCAGCAGGCGCCCTTGCTCACTCGGAGAGCTTCTCCAGGGTTGGAGACGGCCTGGTGGATCCGGACAGGCCTCGTCCCGGGCTCCTTGCTGGGGGAGGCCGGTGTCTGGTGGCATCACAGTCACAGAGGTGGGGTGGCATGGAGAGCCGTGTCATCACAGTCAGGCGGTTTGATGTAAATAGTCCCGATCAGCGATGTCTTAGATCAGCACATGGTCGATAGTTCCGAAGCATATCGTGCTTTTAACTGGAAGCATTTATTAGCAGTAGTACAGCTGATATGGATTACTAGGTGTGGTGTTTGGTATGTACAACGCACCGAGACCTCACCCAGAGGTGGGAAAGCTACATCCATCTATCCATCATCCACAGCCTACAGAGTAAGTTATAACCCAGGACGGGCCACCATTTACACATACTTTTACAGCTGCGGACAATTTGCCAAATGCAGTTCAAATTAGAACCTTTTTGGACTGTGAAGGGAAACTGGAGAACCTGGAGGAAACCCCGTGAACACACAGGAGAACACGCAGAACCCACACACACAGAGACATCTTCACCTGAATTAGGGAACATCAGTGTAAACCGCTGCCTCTTTCCCCGGCACGGCACGCGTTTCAGCGTAAACGGGGCAACGGCGATAAAATGAACGGCGGTTTACAGATTACGTCCATTCCGTTTATTGTCGTCCCCGTGCAGGAAGAAGGGCGACACACGGAAATGGCCGACATGGAGGCGAGTGAGAAGCGAGACGTTTCCGCCACAAGCGATTTTCAGAGGACTATTACAGTTGTCAGGGGCAACTCTAGCCTTGGTATGTTATTGCTCTTCCTTATGATCCTTTTCTCACTGTGTGTGTATTTGGTCGGCATGGCGATGCTTAGCAAGGCCGCATCTTTCCACGATCTCTGAATAACGGCATGGCATCCGTCTCCATTTATACGCTGTCATTAACGGCCCGGGCTGGGTGCAGGAAGCATGGGGGTTCTGCTTCAGCGCTGTGTGAGAGTTTACCGTGGCGCATCTGGTACTGACGTTACATCACGGCCAACGATGCGAATCGAAATGAAATTAATAAAGGAAAAAGCTATATCTTCAGCCATGTCGTGCTACGGTAAACTCAAGGCATATCTGTTTACAAATAATAAATATACTAACAACAGTAATGTGTTTTTCATGGATTATACATGTGTGTCGACAGCATGTTATCACAAATTTGCAACCAAACATGTGGATACTTGTGGAAAATTGTATTTTCACAATTTTGATAAAATGCTGTACAGTTAATGTAATAGCTCATGCATTTTGCTTGTTTGTTTACTGTTCTATTTAAAATAAAAAACAGCATATTTTTTTAAAGTATGACTATTTGAAAGGTGTTTGGCGAAGATAAAATTGCTAGATCATTTTTATTTTTCTAAAATTATATACATGAACTGTGTCCACATGTGTGGGTCTGTATATGATGAGGAAATATTCAAACGTCTATTTGCTCATTGTATGATTTACATAGAGTTCAGTGTATCATAATATGTTGTGCGTTTATTAAAACCAAACTTCTCTCGCTTGCTATAGCTTTGTGTTCTTGTTCCATGTGTGTAATACACAAGCAACTGCATCTCTGAGTTACAAGACACAGCAGAATAGTGACTGAATAGTCAATGACGACCACAAATCATGAGGGTTTGCTAAACTCATACAATGCTGTCGTCAGGGAAAGCACAGCAGGGGGTCTTGTGAAGCACAGACGGATGTCTTGTCGGATTTAAGGTAGACTGGGCTAAATGTAAGTGAATGAAGATAAGGGCCATTTAAGCTATCTAACCAACCAACAAATCTCATTTCATTATACAGACCCAGTGTCATTAAAAACATTCAAGCTCTTAAAAGTGTCCGTAATGTTTAATCTGGGAAAATAAGATTGCCTGGCTTTCTTGGGATGATCGGAGGTGATCACTAATTAACATTTGCTTAGTAAAATGAGACCATTTCTTGCCTGACGCAAGGAGGGTCACTAAGATGTTCGAAACAAATCTGCGTTGAATAAGAGTCATTATGCGTGCAAAGGTATTATTTAAGTTGCCTATAATTTATACAGGCAATTAATATTTAAGGAACACACACTATTGAGTTTGACATAAATTATGTACAAACACATTTGCTGTATTTTCCCGCAAACAGAATTAAGCTAATATTTAAATGTGACCGTAATCAGTTTGACCTATTTTTAATTAAACCTAAAGCTAGTTCGTGATTTTGGAAAGGAACAGTGAACAATGTATCAACTTCAAAAGTGCTCTTATAGAGAGGCTGATGCGTTGGAAAGAGATACTAGGGAGAAAGAGCTAAAAAGAGTCATTTTGGAACAAATATGCATGTAAAATAACTTTTTTGCATTTAGATTATTACTACATCCTGTTCCTCACGCACAATTTTTGAGTGATCGAAAAGCAACAGCGTATTTCTGGTCTGGATTTTGTCATTTTACAAGGGTCTTTGAAAACTGGCTAACTCATGCATATAGATGTCTTCGGATAATCGGGTGAGGGCTTGAGGTGTTAAATTGCGTTACTCGCATTTCTGATTAATATGCTGTTAGCTTACGCTTACATTTATTTGGCGAGCCCAGAGTCGGTAGGGTATGAGGACGGAGAGCGCGGCAGATCGAAACGGCAGAGGTTATAAACATGCTATCCGCCGCGGTAAGTGCAGTCAATTAAGCGTGACCACACTCCACATGGTGCATCTCAGGATATTAGTCTGTATATTAATATGCAGAATATTATGCTGCGCTAATGCTGAGCGCAGAAATCCTCCCAGATTCACTGACGCTGCAGTTTTAACACGTTGCGTATAAAGCAATATGCCGAAAAATGTAATTTACGCAAAGTTGGTCTAAATTTGATGTTTACTTCCAGTCATTGGCTTATTCCTTTAAAGACATACGGGTTTGAGAAATTCCTGCAGCTGGGGCCCCGTAAACCGGGGGAACTTTAGGACGATTCAAGGGACTCCTGAGTGATTGCCGCGCTAAAAAATTTGGAACATAATCCGATTGATCTGGGTTGGGGGCCAAAATCTTTAGTAGCACCCCTGCCTGCAGCCTGACACCTTCAGGAGGGATTCTGTGTACTTTAGATGGTATATCTATGGATATTTTTTCACACTGTTATCGTACCACAAGTTGAACATCTCCAGCTGTAAGATCTTACGCACATCAGCGTATGCATATTGCAGAAGACAGTGATGACGTTGATAGTCATGCGTATCGCAAATACCAGTGGCCTATACTACGAAGCGGGGTTACTGGCTTATCGGGGTAACTTGTCGGATTTAAGGTACCACAGTTTAAATGGACTTCATATTCGTTCACTTACATTTTGCCCAGACTACCTTAAATCCAACAAGTTACCCCGATAAACCAATAACCCCGCTTCGAAGTACAGGCCACAGGTGACAAGACGTGTGTGTTTGGCAGGGATGACCGTGAGTGCGCTTAAGGACGGCTCAGGGGTGGTAATTCGCAGCATCGTTCACGGAGGATCCGTCAGCCAAGATGGACGGTTGGGTGTAGGCGACTGCATTGTAGCTATCAACGAGGAGCGCACGCGTAGCCTGAGCAATGCGGAGGGCCGCGCATTGCTGAGGAAACACTCACTCATCGGGCCGGATATCAGGTAAGGATCGGGGGGACACGTCTGCATGTTACTGCATGTTGTGTGTCAACCACACTCTGATTGCATGCCGCTCCTGTGGCTAAATAAGTAGCATGTTGTGCTAGCAGGGTGACTCTAGGGACACTGCGGCCCTAGGCAAAAAAATGCACCCCAGACGTCATGGTAAAATTTATGACCATTATTTTAGCGTGAAGTCTAATAGCATGAATTAATAATACAAACACCCTTCATTTTCACTTTGCTTGAGAAGCAGAGTATACAAATAAAGCAGATTTGTCATAGCAATGTGTTATTTAATCGGCTGCCCTCGGGGCCTTCCGCCCACACCCCAGCTTGGGGCCCCAGGACATTGCCTGCCCTACCTTTCCTGTCCCTATGCCTCTGAGCAAGAAGTTTGTGGATTGAAATGCAAAGAAACACACATACATTTTAATACTTCCCTCTGCTTCAAGGCATCAGATAAATGAGTAAACATATCAGAAATATCCCACCTATCACAAAACATGAAGCTAATTGGATCAGATCGGTTTAATATAATCCCCGCCACTTAACTGGCTTCACAGCGAGATGGTACGTGATTCACCAATCGCCTTCAAGGCGAAAATTGACAATAATCGCTCACAAATGACGTCAGTTTCTGTGCACTTCCCTCAGGTGTTAAGCGATTGATTCTGCCCCAGGAGCCGTGTGAGGTTTTATTTTAGATTCCAGCCGCGCAGGCTGGACGCAAATCGGCCTCCGCATACGACCAAGTGCTAACAGAATGGGGCGTCTATATGGTCGGCTGTTTATCGAACAGCCAGGCAGGTGGCGATTAGCTTCAGACTAATGATTAAAGGCCCACAAGTCTCATGTACAGCGAACTGCCTACGGAGGGAAACCGCTGAAGCTTTTTCTAACATGCAAGTCAATCTTTTATGCAACAGAACTTCATCACTGCACTCGTGTGAAACAAAAAGAATGTCACACCAATTAGTGATTGTAAGTTTTCAAAATTATTTTTATATTTAACTTGTTAGAGGTTTGTATTGTAGCCCTGAACTGGAGGTGCAGTGGTTAGCATTGTGGCCTCACACCTCTGGGACCAGGGTTTGAGTCTCCTCCATGGCTCCATGTGTGTGGAGTTTGCATGTTCTCCCCCCCCCCCCCCCAGTCTGAAAACACACTGATGCTAACTGGAGCCATCAAATTGCCCATTTGTGTGTTTGCGTGCCCTGTGTTGGGTTGGTGCCCCATCCTGGATTGTTCCCTGCCCTGGTTCCATAGCCTCCACGATAGGCTCCAGGATCCTGAATCAGACAAGCAAGTACAGGAAATGGATGGATGGATGGACCTTGTGCTGCAGAATTGGTTAAAAAGATGCATGGATTAAAGCCCATAGCCTTAACATATATGAATGTGTCTTTAAATGTGGAATGAGGGGGAAAAAACTCAATAGCATTTTTCATGTCTTTATGACTTTTGTTCATCGAACGGTGGGTCTCTGGTCGGCCAGTGGTGATGAAGTCAGTGCCCGTTACAGGCCGTCTGATTCCGCTCCGCCGTTCTGTGAGATCAGGCGCCTGCTCAGGGTCAACATATGGGTTTGAGTTTGACATTCGCACCCCATGCGTCTGCTTTATACGGTATCTGTCACTCTCTTTTCAATGTGTGGCTGTCCTTGGCCGACTCAGAGTCCAGCGAGAATGAACAGCAAACCACTATTCAATATACCCGAGTTCAGGATGCGGATTCATACCGAATTGGTATCAGATTCTAATAAAACACAGACATCATAAACCTTCCAGCGAATTCCTCAAATTGCCCCCATTTTAGGATTTAAACCCAGCTGGTTCTGTAACTTCGCCAACACAATGACGTATCTCAATATTCCCACTTTAAAAAATGTTGTTAAATGTATTGGTTTTGACAGCGCATTGTAAGACTGTGACCGATGTAAATCGACCGTACATTCAAATATTCCTTTTGTTTTTAAGTGCGTAGTGAAATGCAATAACAGAACTGTTACCGACATTTTTCGGGTAACAGTAATATTCTGGGTAATTGTGCAATTTTCTAGTTTCGCATTATGAGTGGTGGCAGTTTTGTATTGACAAAAAGGCCGTCTTAGCATTTTATTTTTGAGAACGTTTCAATGTAAACTTAACTGCTGTCACCCGCATGAGAGATTCAAGCCTATTGGGGTCGATTGAGGTTGCTAGACAATTTTGTACCCGCCCCCCCCCCCGTCCCCCCACAAAAAAAAAATTAAAATAAGCAGCAACATTCAAAACTAATGATGGCCAGATGGTAGAAAATTAGGGCTACATCAAGTGCTTTTGCCGTTTGGCAGAACTTGTAATGTCTTAAACACGGAGGGAAATCGCGACTAGAGGCCTATATTTCATAACTATGTTCGACCTTAAAAAGAAGAATATGTGTGGCGGTTACTGGTAGTCTATTTTCCAAATTGAATATGAACGTTGAAATTCAGGATTTATACTATACGCGTTTTCCGACCGTCGTGTCCAATATGTCATGCGCCACTCCTGCTCGCAGCACTAGATTCCGTTTAGTTCGACTGTCGACAAATTAAGGAAAAACTGAGCAAAATGTACTTTCAAATTTTCTGCCTGAACTGAGTATAAATAATGTCATTTTTTTACATGGCCGACAATGGTATTGTTCAAATAAATTGCATCTAAAATGTCCATCCATCCATCTTCTAACGGCTTATTCTGGTTAAGGTCATACGGGGCCTGGAGACTGTCATCCTGGAGAGACTGCATCTGAAACATCTGGAATAAAACAATAGGAATATTAAAAACTTCAATTTCTCTTCTATTTGGGTTTAAGATTAATCCCTAAGTTCTATCATTCACTCATTTTCTATACCCACTTGTCCTGAGCAGGGTTGGGGGGGTCCTGAGCCTATCCCAGCAATACCCCAGGATGGGGTGCCATCCCATTGCAATCTAAATAGAAATCCATCCATCCATCACCTATCCATCCATCCACATCCATCCATCCATTTTCTGTAACTGCTTGTCCTATTCCAGGGGCTATGGGTTCAAAGCAGGAAACAACCCAACTGCAGGGTCATTTTCTGAATATTCTTAGGCTGTAAAATAGGGACACAGACCTGTTATGAATATAAAAGGGTTTGCGTAGCTCCAAAGAATTACTCCTATTAAGAAGAGGAACAGGTAATCCAGATGGTTAAGTTTGATTAAGCTCCTTGCTGAAATCAGCCCGTGTTGTGTAGCTATGGATGCCCCAGAGTCCAGTTCCATAACTTCTGCTCATGATTCAGGGAGAGATTGCGTGCGAGGGTGACACGTGGCGGTGTAGCCCGGGCAGGCCGCTGGTTCTCTCACTGCGAGGTCTGTGTCACCTGTGTCCCCAGCTTAACCTACGTACCAGCGGAGTTCCTGGAGGCTTACAGAGCCGGGCTCGCCCAGGGATGGGGGGGCGACGCCACGGACGACGCATCTCCCGTCACGCGGTGAGCGACGGTCACCGTGGCGATTGTCCTCTATTCAAAAAGCCGGACCAGCAGATAGTTGTGAGAAACCCCTGCAGGGTTATACCTTTTAAAAACTCTGGCTGATTGCTGAAGGGCTGGTGACTGACTGGCCGCGGTGAGTCACTACAACAGTGCATGATCAGTTAAAGGGGAGGTGAAGGAAAGGCGTCACAGACCTTGATCAGTGGAGTCTTTCCGCATCTGGACACATCTTAACCAAAAATTATCACCCTGATAACACAGGTACACAATTTAAACACACATACGAACCCAAAAGAGCCTATTCTGAGTGAAAAAAGTCAATTGTCAAGCTGTCTAATTGGGTGTTTCCAGACACCTTTAAAATAACATAACAAGAACAGGACTGATTGAGTCAAAAACCAATTAATAAACTGGAAATGTCTGTATGGAAGACATGCGCAGATATGTTAAACATCGCATGTCAGTTGACTTTTGTTGTGAACCTAATACATTTGCAACATTATTTGCATTTGCAGTATTAAGCCAGCCTCCCATGACTTTCTGTTCTATTTACAAAATTTTGATTTATTTATTATTTTAAAATTCAAACGCTAACTTACACAAAAGAGTGAAGCCTCACGTTAAACTCCTTTGCAGTTCATTCGTAAATATCAGATTTAGCTGGTTACATATAGAATTGGCGCAGAGATAGTGAAAGGAAAGGGTTAACAGGCTACAAATCAGTGTTGCTTGCAATCAAAACAGAATGTACTCAGTGCAGTGCTTCTGTTAGGGTTTAATGCTGTAGTCCAAAAAACATGAAGGACTTTCACTTGTTTTGCCGTGTTCATCTGATAATTTGCAGGGTTTCAGCATTTCTCAGTGGGCTTGTAAACATGAGCTGTTCCTGATTCCTCTGATAGTAAATATCGGTGCTCCACATACACAAAGAGGCTTCTTAAAAATCCTGCCATGTCTTGCCACAATCACTCATCGAAATGATAGCCCATTATTATCTTTTGGGCCAAAATATATTCATG